TGGATAGAAAATGGATTGAAGCACTCCAAATATTAAATACTCAACCCGACCAATAATGTCGGTGAAAGGTGTTCATCATCGGGTTTGGTTTTGGGGAGACATTTTTAGGTGTCTACAGATACCTGCAGTTAAACTCAGTAAATGGGGGCTTCTAACACCCATAAAAGCCATCCTTTACCAGTTTCAACTAAGCTTCAAGGGATCGTATTTCAAAATCTCAAAGAATCAACTACTCCTATACGAATAACAGTAATACAAACATGATTATCGTCTACCAAACAATTTTGAGGTTTAAACATGGCAAAAAACGAGATAAGAGTATGCTTCGCGCCGTTTTTCAATTTCAAAATTTGCAAAAGGTGAATTATGAAAGTCATACTAGTTCCAATACTATAATCTACTTCATAATCAGGAAATGCAACCAAAATGAGCAAGAAAAAGTAACGGATTCAAGCAAAATTCGAAGAAAAAAAAAAGCTAGAATGAACTTAAACAAAGAAATGCTCATACAAGGTTCAATGCTTAACCATTTTTCATGAAATTCGTTGCAAATCACTCCTTAAACATAGCATAGCAACATGGAACAAAAAATTTCAAGAATAATGGAATACTATAATTCACTTCAAAATCAACAAGTATAACCAAATGAGCAAGCAAAAACAACAAATTCGAACTAAAATTCGACAAAAATACCAAGAATGCATTCAAACAAAGAAATGATCATACAAGGTTTAATACTCAACCATTTTTCATGAAATTTGTTGCAAAACACTCATTAAACATAGCATAACAACATGGAACAAACAATTTCAAGAATGATGGAGAAAATCGAAAACCCCCAAATTCGAATTTTGGGGTTTTACGGTTCGATTTTCCCCAAATTCAGCCAAAAAACAAGCAAAACCTTACATTAGATTTTGGCAAATATGAATAGGAAACGAGATCTAATTCCTTTAGCTTCACAAAACAAAGAATTTCGAGCTTTGTAGAGAGAGAAAGAGTAAAAAATGGCGAAAAGGGAAGGAGAGAGCAACAATGAAAATCGTGCTTCGCGATTTCTTTTACTGACTTTAATGTCGTGCGCAACTAAATATGTTGCGCTTGACAGCGCAGCGCAACTCCGAACGATGTGCGGGTCTGGCCAACTTGACCCACTAAGTTGCGCGCGGATACTAGTCAATTAAAAGCAGGGCGGAGCCAGCCCGGGACAAGGGGGGACAGCTTTCCCCCTACTTTACAAAAAGCATCTTAATAAGAAATAAATGATGCAGTATAATTTAATCAATAACTTAGTTGATGCAGTGGTAACGCCTCCACTACTAGAACACGGCAACGCGGGATCAAACCCCCAACAAGCTTAACATTTTTTTTCTTTTTTTTTTTTAAAAAAATATTTAATTATTAAAGCATTTCACCTTTCCTTTATTTTTTAATTTTCTTTAATTTTTTTATATATATGTCTAAGATAATCGTCTTCCATTGTTATTACCAATAAATCATAATTGTAATAAGGACTCACAATATGGTTTTAAAAAATAAAAAAGGAATCATGATGAGTGTGTTTTTTTTTTTTTTTTTTGAACGCCATGATGAGTGTTTAATTACATATATAATTGTGTGTTCGAATTCGTCAAAACCCATAAGTAAATGTTTATAGATCCTTCACTATGTAAATACTAATAATGTAGCATCGGAGGAAGATATGATGTTAAATTTCTTTAATAAGTATTTTGGATTTTGTAAAATTTTAATACTCCGTATTTAACTAATTATGCGTTCAAGTATTGAACTTTTTTCCAAAATTTTTGTCAAACTATATATATGACGTTCAATTGTCCCCACGATTTAAATTTTTTGGCTCCTCCACTGCTTAAAAGACCGGTATTGAGATTTCGATCCGTTTTTATTTAATTTTAACGGTTTTTGCTTATTGTTAGACGTAATGGCACGCAAATTATCGAAATCTTTTAATTTTCTTTGCATCTTGTAGTTTATTTTCTTCTTTGATAGTTTTTTGCATCATCCTGCATGCACACCAAGCTTTGTGCCTAACCCAAGCATACGTTTTGGACGTTTTTCGTGATCGTTTCTTAATACGTTCCTTAGTGGTGCTTTACATAAAAGCTCTCATAGACAGGTTTGTCATTTTACTGTACTGACTTTATAAATGTCACGTTATTTTCATTTTTTGGCGTCCACAGCAATAAGAATGTCGTATCGTACAATGTAAAATTGTATGGCGTAGGTGCTGCGTAAAATTGCATCCACTTCCCCAACAACGTGATCTACATCCCATAACGAAAACGGTAGAACTTCTTTTCAACTATAGGCGTTAGCATACGAATCGACTGGCGTGCCGAACCATCGTGAAAAGACACATTCTCGATTGGAAGAAAATACGGTATTCAGTGAGCTTACTAGCTTACTGGACAGTTAGGGTGTCTGTCCACCCCCTATATAAAGAGCGACATGCCGAAGTCGCACCTATTTAGACATGTGCCCCTAGTCCTGAGACGCGTGTTTTCATCTTGTGGATAAAACTGCTGAGAGTCGCCGATTTTCTTCTCTCTCACTGGATTTGGATATATGCCGCCTGAAACATGTATTTCTATCTTGTGGACCTCGAATACTTAATTTTGGTAAGCGAGTGTCAAAACCTCTATTCACGTGGTAGATTCCGAACGCCGAAACACCTCTCTTTTTTATCATTTTTTAACTTGTTAAAATCATGGACTAAAGTGTCAATGACATATCAAGGGACTTTAGATCAACAATGCCATAATTGAGAGGATATCATCGTCTTTACTCTTTTTTAAAACCGATATCTTCTCATTACATGACATCACTTAGGACAGCCTTTACTTGTAAAGCGTTCTACATTTGCAAAGGATCAATCTAGATTCTTAGCGCGTTAAGTCTAGAACATACTTTTTCTAGCCTTAATAGCTACTTGTCTCAAACACTTAGCGTATCAAGGATGTCGAAACCCTAAACGCACCCATTCCCTATAAATAGGGGCTTAATACGAGGCTTAAAGACACAGAAATTAACTCGAAATTCTGGCAGAAACTTTGTGAACTTGTGTACTATCAACCCTCTTGTCCTAAACACTCACCCCCTTATTACTTATTATTACGGTGGAGGTTCCCGAACAAGAAGGAGTCCATAAGTGTTCTAAACGAAGAGCTGGCAAGGAAAAGTGGTAAATTCATGAGCAATTAGATCAATCACCTTTTCTTTTCTTATTTAATTCACCTTTAATCAATTAATTAGTATTGCTTGGTCACTTAAAATAAACTTTTAGTTATTAATTTCACATAGTATTCTTTCATTAATCAAAGAGTAGCAATTGAATAATTAATTGTTGATTGATCACCTAAGCCAAGGCGAATTTTTTTTTATTGTTCTTTTCACGAATATTAATTAAACAAAGGATAACGACTTTTGCAATGTAATTATACGTGATTAATGCTTGTGAATAAAATCAACTAACTTAGTTTTAGATATCATGTTGCATACATTGTTTGGTGATGAAATTGTGAAAAAGGAAGAGCTAGTAGAGGCCGCATTAGGGCTAGAATAGCGATTCCCCCTAAAAGAAACGTTATTTTAGTATACCCTTACTCCCGAACTCATTTCTGGTACAAGTAGACTAATTTGAGCATGGGTAAACTTATGATTCGTGCTAATATCCTATGAACTCTACTTGTGAGAAAGGCATGAATGAGGTTTATGATTTTTCCTAAAATTCATTGGCGACTCCTTACTAGTTTCTTACAAAATAGCGTAATGATAGGATCAACTCTAATTCAAAGTTCCTCAAAAAGTTAGGAATTTAAATCCTATTACACCCTAGAAAGTGTAAAGTCCTCGGGTTTTAAAAGGCCATGGGCATAAAGGAGAAGGATCCTCTACGATCCGGCAGCCTCCGTCACCACGCCCAACCCACTGAAAACCCCCCTCCCCACCCCTCCCAACCACCGAACACTAGTGGAAAAATAGTTATCCAAAACGGGCAAAAACAGCCTATCCATAACGGGCAGCGGGCGTTACATATGCTGTCGTTACGGATAGGATATATTATTCGTAACGGACAGTCTGATTGCCCGTCACGAATAACGAGTTATTTGTAACGGACAGTCTGAGGGCCTGTTCTGTTCACCTTATTTTCACTTATTTCAGGTTTAATAAATTCAGATAAGTTCAGTTAAGTTCAGATAAGGGTTAATAAGTTCAGATAAGTTTAGGGTTAATAAGTTCTAAATTAACGTTCTCCTCACCTTATTTCCACTTATTATATTTATATAGAGTTATTACTAATCAAGATTGCTTTTCACTTTTTTTTTTGTAAAATTTTATGTGTTTTATGTGTTTTATTATCATGATTTCATATAACAATAAAGTAACATTTGCAGAAAAAATAAAATTAAAGTAACGTTATACTCATAAGTTATGGTAGTAAGACTAGATAAAATTTGCTTATATAAAAGTTAAGCAAATCAACAAGTTTATTATTTTTGTGAAAAAAACAAAGAGAAATTAATGAGAATGAAAGTCAAATCAACAACAAAACCAAAGGAGAATTTTTACTATTTCTAAAATATAAAATAGTAGTGTTGTTATCAATAATGTCTTTAAGTGTTAATAAGGTTTAATAAGGTCAAATAAGTGAAAATAAGTGTTAATAAGGTATAATAAGTTCAGATAAGGGTTGATAAGTTCAGATATGTTCAGATAAGTAAAAATCAGGTGAATAGAACACACCCTGACTGCCCGTTACGAATACAATTGAACCCAAATTTAAAAAAATCCAGCAGGTGATACCTGCTAGTATGCTGCCAAATTTTAATTACTATTATAAATTATCAATTACAAAAAATAAATAATTTTAAATAATAATTTATACAAATATACAGTTCAAATTCAATTAGCAAAAGTTATGCAACATTCAAATGATTTTATCAATTAAAGAAATTAAAAACAAGTCATGCACTTGCTAATTGCTATAACTAAGATGAGATTCAAATTCAATACGTTGTTCTCTCGTTTGCTCATAATTCAAAACTGTTTCAACAACAGCAGATTGTTTTTCTTTCTGGGGTTGTTCCTGTTGTTTATTTTTGCCGTGATTTCAGCAAAGGGGGGCAGCGGAGGAGGAACTGGAGGAAGCACTACCAACCGTGTTGATTGTTGAACTGTTGAAGCCCCCGGAGAAGATCTGAGTAGCATATCTTGTCGTACTCTCGGTTTACTTGTCACCATACCCAAATTAGCAAAGAAAGATCCAAAATCAGAAAAATAAATAATAAATAAAATAAAATCGATAGATCTGAAGCAAAAAAATGCAAACTACACTAGTGAAGAATCAAACACAACATGCCTATATTATTTATTAAAGTTAAAAAAATAATATATACAATTTTACAAACCTGATTTTCAGCTCCCATAGGCACAGCAAGTGAACCGGGAATGCTAGAGCCATCACTACTTGTCATGTATCTACCCTAATCAAGAAGAAACCTGCAAAAAAAAGAACTATTAAATATTAATCTGCATAGTTAAAAACACACACACACACATCAGGCTGAGGGCAGTGCTTGTAAGCCTTAAATATATACTGCCTATGGAAATTATACAACGACACACACACACACTACACATTTATCAGGCTGAGAGCCGGAAAAGATCGAAAGGAAACCAGAGTAAACTATGACAGTTCCAGTGCTTGTAAGGCTTACATATATACTGCCTATGGAAATCATACAACGAATACAGTAAAAGGAAAGGAAAATACCTGCTTAATAGTCTCTTGATGGGTGGCCAGAAGCTCTTTGTATTTCTCCTGCAGCTCTGACATCTCAGTCTGAAGTTTCTCATATTCATTAACAGTAGGTCCCCCTAATTTTTGTTGCACACATCTGTAAAACAAAAACTATAAAACATTAGGGTAGATGTTCATAATTAAAACAAGCTGTCATAACTTATAATCAATAGTTGTAGAAATATTAATAAAAGCACAGGGCATCTGTTGGGGAGTGGAATGACTGAATGAGCTCCAATCCCATCCAAAAAGAAATACAACCACTCCAAAAGTACCCAATAAATGAAATCAAAACCAGAAAATAGTCAATAGCTAAAACCCAGCAAAAAAAATAAAAATAAAATTCCTGCTTACTTCGTTTGGCGATGTTGCGAGCAATATCCTCAGAAGGGATATTGACGAAATGGAAGGGGTTATCAGGGTGGAAGTTATCTGGTAGTTTCCACTCAAGTGAGTGGATTTCGCCATTGCTGTCCTCTCCAAAAGCTCCAAAAAGCTCAGGAAGAGCTTCAACTTCAGGCTTGCGATAATCTAATAATCTATGGAAGAATACTGCAGCACTGTCCCTAATCTTCTTGAGCAATTCGCCACCTTGCAAGCGAATACTGCAGCAATTTCCCTAGCAATACCAGCAGCAGCATGGTCCTATATAACAAATTAAATCAATAATTCAATTAATTAATCAAAATTTCTTACTAAAATCATGTATGAATTTTATAATAGATCCACAAAAACCGCATCTGAAACTCAACCAACAGAAAACCCAAAATTCATGCAAAGATCCGATTATTAAGCTTATATTTTCCTTTTGAACTTCAAATTTTCATGAAATATTATGATTCAACAAATCTTAGCTTAAAAATTAAGACAGTAACACTGTGATCTACTCAATTCATACTATGTTTAAATCCCACAAAAAAATGATTAAATAATTAAAGTATATACCAGTAATACCACCATTTAATAATCCATTTTAATTTTAATATTAATTAATTCCCCCATAATTCTATAAGATCTGAGATCTTAAGAATCCAGAAATGAACAACCCATTTCGAATTATGTATTTCACAAATTAAACACTTATTCATTTCAAATTCTAATTATATACCAAATCCCACTAAAATGGATTAAATAATTTAAGTATATACCACCAATTTTATCATTAATCAATTAACCCACAATTCTTAAAATAAAAAATCACAAGATCTAAGATCTTGAACCCTAGAAAAAACAGTCCATTTCAAATCAAAAATTCTACAAATCAATCATTTACTCATTTCATTAAAATCATCACAACATGAATCAAACCCAACAAGATCCAATCCACAAAAACAATAAAACCCCATTTAAGATCTGAAAATTTCCAAAATCAAGGGCAAATCACAGATAAAAAAGGGGATTAAATCGAAAAATGACGAGATAAATGAAATTATACCTAGGTAGAGAAGATTTAGCAAGAACACCAACGAACTTCTGCAAAAAGAGTAGTATGAGTCTCAATAAGAACAGCAGTTTCATCTTAGCACCTTTAAAAGGTTGAGAAGGACCAAATTCAGTACGGCAAGACATAAGTCCAGGCATTTCGACTTCAGCAAGCTCGATTTCGAGTCTACCAGAGGTGGTCTTCTCGATTGACAATGGAGTTGCCGCCATTGTTGTTGAGCTTGAAGAACAGGAAGAGAGAGAACACGAGTGAGGAAGAAGAGAAATGAGAAGTGTTGACAATGATTTGAGGAGAGAGAAAGAGAAGATGAGTGAGGAAGAAATGCGGCAGGGGAAGTATGTAGGAACCGATCTTTAACCCTAGAGAGTTATTTAGTTGTAACGGGATTTATGTTTGTCCGTTACAATTAATAACTATTCATAACGGGAATTAATTTGCCCGTTACAATTATTAATTATTCGTAACGGACATGTTTTTGCCTGTTACAAATAAGTTTTTCCGTAACAATAAAAAATTTTGCCCATTACAATTACTCTTTTGTAACGGATTTTATCATGTCCGTTACAAGTAGGGTGTTACAAATGACAATTTTTCCACTAGTGGAAACATCCCCCCTTCCCTTGAATCGCCTCAATTCCCACCCCTACCCCCAAAAACCCTCCTAATAAACCATCCCATCCCCTTCCCTTCCCTTCCCCCACCCCAAAAACCACCCATTTCCCTTTCCCCAATGCCAATAAATGTTGTTTGGGGCTAGGGAAAAGAGATAGGTGGTTTTCGGGGTGAAAGGAATGGGAGAGATGAGGTATTTTTTGTGATAGTTTTCGTGGGTGGGTGGTAGGAATTGGGGCGATTCAGGGGAAGGGGCTGTTTCGATGGATGGAAGGGGTGGGGAGGGGGTTTTCAACTGGGCGTGGGGAGAGAGGCTACCGGAGTGTGGGAGTTGGGAAGGGGGCTACCAGAGCGAGGTTGAGGAGTGGTAGCGTGATGGCTTTTCTTTTTCATATTTTTTTTTTAAAAAAAAAAATCTTATTTTTTGGGGCCAATTAAGTGGTGCTACGTTTTGGGACCAATAAAACAAATACCCCATAAAGTTAAGATTATTCAATAATAATTCATAATTGGGATTATTAAAAGTGAATGCCTCAAAATTGAGATTAGTTTTATCAATCTAATATATATAAATAAAGTAGGCATTTTTGGAAAGCATTGGGAGCGCCACATAAGAAAAGGTATATTTTCGATCAAAAAATTATATTTTTATTTTATTTTAGAACTAAAAAAATCACTCGCCACCTAAACAAAAGTGACGAATGAAATTTTAAATTTTTGCCATGTAGGTAAAAACGACGAATAGTAATTTATTAGGATTTTAATTATTTAAGAACACTAAATTTTATCATTTTTATTATTTAAAAAACTAAAAATTATATTTTGATATTTAAAAAATATAAACTATCATTTGATGTTAATGGTTTTATGTAAATATCTAATGATATGATACTTTCATACAAAATTTTAAAACTTATAATGCAAGAAAAAAAATTAAAAGATCACCAAAAAATATTTATATACAGAATGTATATAAAAATTCGTGCATCGCACGCCACATAAGCAAAAGTAATATTTCGACCAATGAAAAATTAGATTTATAATTAATTTAGAATTTTAATTTTCAGTTGCCATTTAAGAAAAATTTAACAAATGAAATTTGAGAATTGAAAACAAAAAATAGTAATTTAATATTTAAATTATGAAAAAAAACAAAAATTATCTTTTATATTATCTTTTACATTAGGATTTATATTATTTTAACAAATAATTAGAAATTAAAAAATATATTTGGATTTAATGATTTTATCTAACTATCCGATGAATGAGATGATACTATTTATTTCAATTTATATATTCAAGTTCTATATATGTAAAATTTGAATAAGAATAATTTAAAACTTAAAAAAATATTTTACCTTAAATTAATGTTAAAATAATAGAATAGAAAATATAAACAAAAAAAATTAAGAAATTACAAAAAAATATACAAAATGAAATATTTAAAAACCGTGCATCGCACCGGCTTACATCTAGTTTTTCCTAAAATAATCCAACCATGTGTTAATTGAAACACTCGAACATAACTCAGTCATTAACTAGTTAAAAATATTTTAAAAAGTAGTTGTATTTGTGGAATTGTAAATTTTTCCAACAATATTAAGGAAAAACATTCAATTATAATTTACTCCATATAACATATTAAAAGTTTTAATTACAGCTCATTAAAGTAACATGTCCCACAACCTCAACTACAAAGTCTACAATGAACACAGTTTAATCAATGCCGTTGAATTCAGATGGATCCACCGTCTCTAACTCTTCGAACGTTAGTAACACAAGCGCCAACTATTTAAACACCAAAAAAGCTAAACCCAACATTACCCCTTTATTTCTCCAAAGAAATACTAGCCGTTACAACCTTCATATTTTCTCTTTCTACAACCCTCAATTCATCATCATAATCTGCTGCTCATCTAAAGAATTTACACACCACCTCTCTCTTCTAGATCTCAAACCCAAACTCGACTCAAACTAGTGTTTTTTGGAATCGCTTTTGTCAATGGCTACTCCTGCATCTCCTTTGATTAGCCCCTCGTCAGATAAGCGCTATTGGAGTGCTTTACATGAAAGGGTTGAAACCCTTCTTGAGAATCGCAAATCTGTTCGATCCTGTTCGATTTCCCTAATGGTAATCTATAATATGTGTTTTTTTGTTGTTTATTAAAAAAGAAAATTGGGGAAAAAAAAAATCCTGAACTTCTGATTTTTTTTCTAATTTGTTATGGGGTTTTGGAACAGCATGATGGAGAATTAAATTCGGCTAAGAAATCGAAGGCGGACTCGATGCTATTGATCAGAGGTTTCGATTCGATTGCCTCTTCACTCTCTCAGCTCACTGGCAACATTGAGAAAGCTCTTCAGGTAATTAATTCAGTCCGGAATTAATTATTTATTGAATTCGTAGTTCAAATACACCATCAACGTGACAAGTAATTCCAGACCATTGGACAATTTTAAGTATACCTATTTCTGATTTGATGTACGAATTATTCTAAACTCGTATTATTACTTCTTTTGTTAGGGAGCCAGAGAACTAGAAAAAACTTCAACTGTAACAGAGATTATCCACAGCAGCAGTAGCAGCGACGGAGCTGAAACAGAAGAAGATAAGAATCAGGAAATTTCAGAGAAAAAGGGAGTGAAGAGAAAGCTTGATGCAGAAGATTGTTCAAACGGTGAAGGAGAGAAGGAAGCAACTCCTGATAACAAAAAGAAACAGAAGCACCAAACAGAACTGAACCTTAAGAATGTTAAAAATGTAACAGAGTTTTACAATATTTCATTTTTAGCATTTTTGTTTTTCAAATCCAGTTGTTTTAGTTTATCAAACTGATTTACGTGTCTGATATTCTTTCAGCTATCAGTTGCTATGGCAGCGAAATCATCCTCACTAGCTAGGGAACTAAAATCAGTGAAATCTGATATGTTTTTTATGCAAGAGAGGTGTGCTCTATTGGAAGAGGAAAACCAGAGACTTCGAGACGGGTATGGAAAAGAAGACAGACCTGATGACGATGATTTGGTAATGAATTCCTCGGGTTTAAAAAAAATTCATCGAATATAATTGTTGCCCGAGTCTTAGTTATGTGCAACTTTCAGAAATTGATGTGTTATTCCTGCTTTATGTGTGTGTGTGATAACAGGTGAGGCTTCAACTAGAGGCACTACTTGCTGAAAAATCAAGACTAGCAACTGAGAACGCGAATCTAACAAGGGAAAATCAGTGCCTTCGACAACTTGTCGAGTATCATCAGTTTGCCTCTGAAGATTTGTCTGCGTCATATGAACAAGTGATTCAAGGGCTTAGCTTAGATTTCTCTTCCCCAACAGCAAACGACAAGGACAATCTCGAAGATCTCCAAACTCCTAGGACATCAACAGAGGTTTTTGAGTTTCCGTCCTGCCTTGATGATAGCTTTGCAGGAGAGCAAGTAACGCTAACAGACTAACTCCACTGTCGCATGGATGCTTAACCTTAAATGTACCACCATTTGATTTTCTTTGTAATATCTCTAAAACTATGCCATGTACTTGGAGTTCTTGTACTTTCTATACAAAGGATCAAAAATAGAAATTAATCCGCCTTTGTTAATAATATGAGCTGCATTTGACTGTTGGCGGTTGGTTGTTTATAAAAGTGTTTGACTAGCTGGAATGTTTGGCTGTTTATAATGGCTTTTGAAATTGGCCGTTGGTTGTTTATAAAAGTGTTTGGTAAATTAATTGTTAGTTGTTGGCTGTTTATTAGATAATTTGCAGGCCAACAAGCCAAAAGCCAACAAAAAAGCTACTCAAATCAGCTTTTTCATTTTGGCTTAAAAGCCAGTTTTTTCGCTGACTAAAAAGCCAATTACCAAACACATTTTTTGGTTGTTTGACCACCTAAAAAGTTAAAAGCCAAAAGCTAACCAAAAAGCCATTAAAAAGCCAATTACCAAACATGGCCAAGGAATTGCCGGGTAATTAGTAGAGCTACACAAAAAAAATTTACCCAAGTGTCACCATTAAAAGTAACATAGGATATGAGTTCAACAGAACATGTTATTGCAGTCCAACTTTCATATATCTTCAGTGATACCGTTGTTCTTCTTCTTACAGGTCCTTTCTCCGGAAATTTCATTATCATCAGAAGCACCCAGGGAGCTCTTAAATCTCAAAGGTCAAACCTATATGGTCAAAGTCAAAGTTCATGTGTGCTAGAGTCAAAATTCTAGATCAATGTCCTTTTGAACTAGGGTCTAAGTCCAAGGTCAAAGTCTAAGATCAAGTGTTGAGGACTAAGTCAAACTCTAAGGTCCAAGGGTCAAGTCAATGTAGACTAAGGTTAATGCCAACTAGGGTCAATGTATGTGGTTCAAACTAAGGTCTATAGATGATGTGAACTAAAAGATGACCATGACTACAAGAATACAAATGGACGCGATCTAAGGTCAATAACTGTACACAGACAATTTCTTCTTATGGTCCAAGATCTAGAGCTTCAAAAATAGATTTTGGCATAACATTTATAGTAACACCTAAATCAAGCATAGTAAAAATACCATGATCAAGAATTCAACGTCTTCAATACAAAGCACGAAATAAGAATAATGATGAAAAAAATCCACATCTATTAAAGAAGGCATAACATATGATATCAAATTAAAAAAAATAATAATAAAAAAAAAATTCAAGAAGTTCATATGAAATAATATCCGCATAATCAACACAAACATAGCACAACAGAAACACCCACAGCATCATTTG